CCCCGCTTCGGGCCCCGCCCGTCTCAATCCTCGACATCCCGACAAATCCCGCTCCACGCGAGCAGAAGACGACCCGGTTCGTCCGCGGCCGGACCGACTCCTCTTCTGCCCGCACGCGCCGGGATTTTTCCGCCCCTCGCCCAAGGTTCCACCGGTTCCCAGTTACCCACTGCCCGTCACCCGTCCCGCGCGGCGCCGCCCGGTTTCTGTTGGGACCCACACAAGGCCGGCTGTTTCCTTCAGTAGTGTAGGGAATGAAACGGATTCCACCTTTGCAGTAGCTGCTGCAGATCCCAGGGCTCGATCCCTAGTCCTTACCCTACCTGTGTACAGTATGTGTCGACCCCAGGAGTTGAACCCACGACCTGTGTCTTTCCCCACAGTTGGTAGGTTGTCGCAGGTCTGCAGGTTATAGGGGTTCGATCTGTAGACCTGTCGGATAGGAGTCTTAGTGAGTTCTAGAAGTCGTAGCTGTAGCTCTTCCGAAGGGTCAAGGTCGTAGCTGCTACAGTCCTGAAGGGTCAAGGTCGTAGCTGCTACAGTACCGAAAGGCCAAGTCCACGGTCTTCCGGAAGGTCCGGAAGTGGCCTTTCGGGTACTGCCCACAGTAGACCAAGGCAAGTGGCGAAGTCCACCGGTGCTGAGTCAGTGGTACCCAGTCCCAGTCAGTCTCAGTCTAGTCAAGCAAGTACCATGTGGGACTGTGTGCACCAGGGGCATGGGAAAGGGGCAGACCAACGAGCTACAGAGGTATAAATCAAGAGGCAGCGCCCAGCCATTCATTCATTCCTGCGTAAGCCATGCGGAAGCGCTGTCACAGCGACTTGTGTGAGGTGGTCTGCAGTATGCCCGAAGACGAAGTGGGCGAGAAGGAGAGCTTAGCCATAGCGGTAGAGGTAGTAGCGGCCATAGCCGCGATAGCTGACAGAGGAGTGTAGCGTGTGTGTGTGCGTGTGTGTACAGTGTGATGCGTGTGGGATATCCAGGGTGATCCTAAGTCGAGGGTGTGTGAACAGCAGAGTGGGGCGCAGTGAGGAACAGGGAGTTGTACAGGCGCTGATGCGCCATAGCCATCTGAAGCGAACTTGCATCTGAACTGTGTTCTTGGTTTCCATACTCTGAGTTTTGAGTGGGCGCTTGTCGCCAGTTTACTGCGCCACCTGTTTGCATGCATGTGAAGTGTGAACGGAAGCGAGTCTGATTGCAGGGAAAAATAAAAATAAAAAATGATGCGCTACGGCCAACCGGGCAGGAATCGGCCCGAACGACCGTCCAGTAGGACCGGTCGGGTTCCGGTTGAGGGAGGGCGCCCCGGTCCTACCGGGTTTACCCCCTAGGTTAATATCCAATGTAAATCAGAACGGTTGTACAAGTACACACCCCAAGCCTAAAATGTGTCCCCTCTTAATGTCCTGCCTGCTCCCAAAATGGCAGAAACAGCTCCTTCTCCAATCCCTTCCTTAACCTCCTTCCACACCCGGGCAGCCTCTTCTACCTCAACTGCTGGCTGATGAGAACTTCGGACTTCCTAATAGTGTGAATTGGCCAAATTTCTGTTCAGTTCAGTGTGTTGCCGGAACAGTGTGTTTAATCAAGTTTAATGGCCTCTAATTTATTGTGTCTTTGTAATCTTGATACCTGTGTTGTGATCAGGAGATTTCCCATACTTATCATGGAGGATTCTGGAACTATTTCAGCTTAGGTATGTACTGTATACAGTGTATAATAAATATGTGCTGTTGACATTTCCAGACTGGACCTCGTCCTCTGCCGCCCCTTGACCATGAAGCTCTTCTCTGCCTTCGGGATGATGAATGAGTGTCGATTCTAGATTCGCCTAGTTCTAAGGAGGATTCTGGAACTATTTCAGCTTAGGTATGTACTGCATAGTAACTATGTGCTGTTGACATTTCTAGACTGGACCTCGTCCTCCGCCGCCCCTTCACCATGAGGCTCTTCTCTGCCTTTGGGATGATGAACGAGTGTCGATTCTAGATTCACCTAGTTCTGAAAAGGATGGGGAAAAACTAGAAAAAAAAGTGATGCAAGTGACGATGAGCAGTAGCTTGCCACATGCTTGTTCCATGCCTCTTGTCAAAAAATTTCCCTGTGAAAATGCCCTCTCCCCAAATTCCATGCAAAAATGATAAAGTATCTCTCTTCCCCAAAGCGCCTGTTTGCAATGTGTGGTCTCTGCGATTTGGCTGGTCATCTCCATTCCTTTCCCTCTTGTGATACTCTTTAAGGCCTCTGTCCCCTTCCTTTCTGATGACCTTGACGATACATCTTTCTTCCTCTTTGACTGACGTGCTCATTCTGCACGCTGTGTTATTGCCACCCCCAAGGACCTATTCTGCATCTCGATCTTCTATGGCTGTCACAACTGAAGTGTCCACGGATCAATGATGCATGAACCTTCAACTGATCGCTTGCATCAGGTTCCTGTTCTTTTCTGTTAGTATTCTCATGTCAAACCTCCTTTTTTTCATTTTGAACTTGTGAATGGGGTTGCCCCGAACATCATTTTGTTCGTTGACAGTTACATGTGTGTACCATTCTGCTACACGAGCTGAATATTGTGTCATCTGTTTACTTCCAAGATTTCAACATTTGTTTTCTTTCTCTCCCTGCTATGCTTTGCTCATGGGAACCCACCTCCACCTCTCTCTGCACCCTTGCCGGTTGAAATTGGAGTGTCCTCTGAGGGTTTTTTCCCTTCCCAGGTGCCCCCAGCCTTGTATGGGTACCGGGGCGATGAAGGGAGCAGCACCCCCTTGTTTTACCAATCAATTTGCAGAACTTTGCATGGTGTTAATGAGATCTGTCGAGAGGGGAAGGTAGGAGACCAAGAGGGGGGGAGCTGCCCAGTCACAGGTGCACCGCCATTTGTGGCTTGGTGTCCATATAACCATGCATCGCAACGTGTGGGTTGGTGTCTGGATGTTGTAAATCCGAGCCGTGCAGTGAACACAGACTGTGCTCCCCTCCCCCCCGCCTGCTTCTTTGCCACCTCCAGCCCCTGAGCTGTTAATTGATCTTGGCTTGTTGGCCACAAATTCTTGTAAATGCTTGAAAACATACTTGGGGCACATCACGTGCGTGCGAGTTGTGCACGTGATGCAACACCCCTGTTAAGTAGGGGTAGGTAAAAAATTCGGGAACAGCAGGGTGTGGTGGCCAAATGTTCCACTCCCTTCTGAAAATTCGGAGTGCAAATAAAAGAAAATAAATGGGGCCGCGTTGTACCCGAAAACTGTGTGCATGTGTGTGTGTGTGTGTGTGTGTGTGTGTGTGTGCGTGTGTGTGTGTGCATGTCCGCCCCTGCAGAAAATCAGTAAGGACCCCATCACCTATAACAGAGACAGTTGTCAAGTTTAGAGCGGGGCATGATCGGGCCAACAATATATGGTCTGGATTCGAATTCACATCTGTGTTTCAGCAGTTATGGGCTACTAGCTCTCTCCCTTTTTTTTTGTTTTCCTTTTCTTATGAATACGTGCAGCGGCTGTAAGGGCCTCGCTCCACTAGTCACCACACGCACAAAAAACATATGGCTGCGTATGGTTCCATGTTCTAGTGGAAGATTCATTCTAGTTTTGCACATTTGGTAAGTAGTGGAACGAAGCCCTGAGAATCACGTGCAGAGACCAACAGGGCCTAGCTGAGTTAGTAACTCAGAACTACTGAAATACAGACCTGACTTCGAATCCACACACCATCTATTGTTGATCGACCCATGCTCTACAGTCCACGGCCGTCTCTGTTTGATGAGACCCTCGCTAATTTTCTCCAGGGGCCTGGAGAGGCCCTGACTTTGTGAAAGGGGCCCTTCTCTCTCTCTCTCTCTCTCTCTCTCTCTCTCTCTCTCTCTCTCTCTCTCTCTCTCTCTCTGTGTGTGTCTGTGCTTCGCGTGTATACCCGCACACCCCGTCCAAAAAAAAAAATAAAAAAAATCATTTAAAAATGTGCACATCACTAGCACAGCACTAATTTGTGCATGGTGCATGGCGCACCGCAAGTATACTTGAAGCGTATATGACTGCCCGAATAATCCGCAATACGAGGACAACAAATACTCTGCCTCATGAATCAACTGCAATCAACAGTAGCATGGCGCTGTGTCATGAAAGAGGCATAGAGAGATCCAGATGTAGACCCGAAACAGGGGGCTAATATCTTCTAAGTGAAATGTGTGGTCAAGCTGCTGCATTGCCGACGTCCCCCTGGGGTGAGGATGAATAAGGGCAGATCCAGAAAACTGCCCCCGGTCAATACTCCAGAAAATATGGAAGGCACTTTCTGGGTTATTGGCACTTATTGCTAATTTGTGGACAGTGAAAACGGGTGGGCCTAGGTGGAATAGGTGGTCCACAGGCGACCCAGAGAGATCTAAACCCTGCAGTATCGGGCCACTATTCTCCTATTCTAGCATAAGTTGCTTCTGGAAAATCCAAAAAGGATCAAAGAAGAGGTACTCAGACAACCTGATCTCCCATGGTCTCTATCATCAACCGACACGGATGGCTCTTCTGGCGAAATAAGGGTGTCTGGAAAATACAACACTGATGGGACGTAGAGGAAAAGAACTGGATGACTGCCGACGATCTTGCAGCGATGGTACAGAGCATTTCACAGCCATCGGTTGATCTATGAAAGGAGGATTCCACATGGAAAAAGCTGGAATGGGGCCTCCTAGTCAATCCCTCAATTTGCGGACAGAGCATACAGTTTTGGGAAAAGGATCTTAGCGGGGGGAGTTATCGAGCTAGGTTTACCTCCTTCCCGCTTGCATTGTCACTCAGGCAGGAATAGAAGATCCTCTGCCCTGACCTGCTTCCGGAACGAAGTTAAAAGGTTTTGATTTTCCCTCTTCACAATTCTGCTCCCTCCATATCCCCTTCACAACCCTGCTCGCCGTGAAAATAATTCCCCTGTTCCTGCTAGCGGTATTAAGGACGTGCTTTCTTCTGTTTTGAAAAGCTACTCTGTGGACAATCTGGCAGAGAAGGTGCTCTCAAAATCGGCTGTCAGACAATTGGGAAGGGAGCAGCCTGGATGCAGCTAATTGGCTTGATGGACACTGAGAGAAGATGTGGATGGCACAAAATCAAAGGTGTAGCTAAGAAAAAGCCAGCCGTGCTCAAGGCGAAGAAGAAATATTTTTTGCCTCCATGTCAGCCTGCTGGCCATTATCCTGGGAGTTCTGCCCTTTGACAGCCATCCTCTTACACAATCTTTCTTCTTTTCTTTTTCTTTCAAAAAAGAATAAAAAAGGCAAGATTTTGTACGAGGATGGCTGTCAAATAGAAGAGCTCCCGGGAGAAAAGGCCAGCAGGTTGACATGGAGAAAATGGGATGTCACCAAACCACAAGTATACGGCAATACATCGGCCGTGTGCCCCTCACGGAGGTTTTGGGAGGCCGCAAACGCGACAAAGGCCATTGATGAACTTTATCAACGGTGTACCAGCCCCGAAAGTTGCAGGGGGGGGGACAAGCTCATTTTCTGCAGGGCTGGGGCTGTGTAATCGCGGTTTAAGGAATGTTGTCAAACCAGTTCTGGAAGCGAAGCCTCTTCTTCCGAGATTCTTCGAGGTCCCGACTATCTGACTGACTTATTTTCACTGAGACACAGAGGAATCTAAGAAGGAAAAGGCTATCTGGAACTTAATCCCCCTGGAAAGGAGCAATCAATGCTGCGCAGGGGTCGTTTGACGTTCACGGAAGCAAGCGCTCGTGAGTTTCAACAGTTTTGTTGTGTTTAACTGTGGGTGGAAGAGGAACTGGACTGATGCTTCCCAGAATGGAAATGGAGCCAGGCCGATGAGGTCGTGTTTGGTAACATAAAAAGAGAAAGTTTGAACAAATAAGGCAGCCTTTCCAGCCATTTGGCTGAATGGTCAACGCACTGTTGACAATCAAATCAAACTATGAGTTGGATACCTCACAGGAAAGGAGAAGCTGGAACAGACAACGACGGCCTTGTGTAAAATCGTTGTAAGAAGTTACAGACAACTTTCACAGCATAATCAACATTCTGCAAACTGCAGCTTGGGTGTGAGGATGATGACGGTAGCGAATGGCAATTTGGGCATTGAAAAGTGCAGGCTGACATCGCTTGGTGTGAAGGACGGTGTAAGAAGTTACATACCACTTTCATGGCGTAATGATGCGCCGTAATCAACATTCTGCAAATTGCAGGTGAGCCTGGTGAGGTGTGAAGATGATGACGGTAGCGATGGCAATTTGGGCGTTGAAAAGTGCAGGCTGACATGGCTTGCCATGGAGGACCTCTATGCTGCCGATTTTGTTGTCGTGATTTCTATTTTCCTTCGTATGTTGGGATTTTGGCAGGGATGGATGCTGAGGTGGCATATGGGTTTCATTCGCTGCGAGAGAGGAAACCATGGCTGTTTTTCAATCAATTCCTAAATCAGGTAAAAGATTTTGTTCTTCATCTGCCCACTCACAAACCCTTGCACCCTCCCACCATTTCTCATCGTGTGTTTCCCTCTTGCTTCACTCTGTGAATTTATTTATTTGTTTTCTTTTTTTTTTGTGGTTTGTGATCCTGGTGCCCCTCCCAACCCACACACCCACTCCCGATCCTTTTCTGCCCCTTTTTTGCTCTCTCTTTGGAGTTTTCTGCTGTATGTGGGTTTATGATGGTCCCGGGTCCGTTTATTTTTCTGTTCTGTGGTTGCGGGAGACCCCATTTTTCTCTCCCCCCTCCTAACTGACAGAGCCAAGAACTTGTGGATATACCTCCCCAACTAAGTTCAAAAGCCATAAGATAGCTTAGATGAAGTTAGATCAGAATCTAACATAAGTTTAGATCAGACGGTGCCCGTGATGGTACAATATTGTGCAGATCTTTTGGTCAGGATATGATCTGCGAGCCTGACCAATTGGAAAGGTTGTTCAGTTTTGTGAGCCTGACCAATTGGAAAGGTTGTTCAGTTTTGCTAAGTCTGCGAATATAGTCTACTAGGTGACGCGAGTCTGAGTATTATAACACTCGAACACCGGTGCTCGGTGTTTGTCTGTGTTCTGCAGACTTCTCACAGTTCCTTTGTGCCTCTTACAATCCAGAGAATAGCAGCATAATAGGTGGTAATTCCTTTTGTCTCTTAAACCACCAGTACATGGCCCCGCTCTCTCCGAAAAGTTCAGAGGCTCGGGCCAAGTGGACCAAAATGGCTGGCGGCACCAGCCAAAACGAAAACAAAAGTGCCATGCAGGCATTTCAGCAAAGCTTGCCGCACAGGGGGGATCTGCCGCATACAAAAGAGTCTTGGATGTACCGGTGGTTTAAGGGTTCCTATTACAATATAACCCACAGATTGCTGATAACCTATGCAGTACAGTGTTGCACTCACATTCTGTCCCTAGTTGGTTCCGAGGTTTATCAATCAGAGAGGCAGGCAATCTTTTCGGGGGCAGCAAAAACCGCCGTCCATCACTATTGATAGCTAACCTGCCTGGATGCCAAGATGCCCATCAGTTGATGTTATGAAACTGCATACCATGCCATGCACTGCCCATACATTGCCCTTCGCAAGACAAACTCAGATCACACCAATGAACAACCAATTCCAACCCCTGTAGATGCAGCAGAGATTACTGTAGACGAGAATAACCACCTGAACGTCATCCCATTATTATGCCAGTCATGTTGAGTGCACACTGCACAGTTTAGTCTTCAACGAGTAAGTAGTAACACCGCCCAAGAAGTAATCTTCAACGAGCAAGTAGTAAAGCCGCCCAAGAAGTACCCAGTATCAGAGTCTCTCCCTCAGTTCTTTACATCATAGCCTCCCTCCTATTGCCAACCGCCATATCCCAGATGCTTGCTGACTTCTCCCCCTGTCAGGGTCTAACACTATGTCACCTCTTTGCTAGAGTGGCACGAGCTACCTGCTATCTGCCATGCCTAGCAGCTCGGCATGTAGTGCTAGGCAGGAGCCTTCTTCCTTCCACTAGACAACAGCTTGCAGCAGCGCAAGGTATAGCAAGGAGCAACGTTGACCAGCCTGGTGGCCTCCCTCCTATTTGTCCCTCACTGGATGGCTGGCTGGCACCTACGCTGTTGGCCAGCCAGTATATCAGCCCCTTGTAACGGGCGGGAGCAAGGCCCAGTTGTTGGCCAGTACCGCCCTTCCCATGAGGCAGGTATGGTCCAGTTCCCAAGAAGAGCTGTGCGATTTCCGAAACTGGTGCCCTGTGACTGGCAAGGCGCCGGACATACAGTCTCTACCGTCAGTGCCTTGCAATAGCCCAAACGTTGTACTTCTCTTCTGCCGTCCTTGTACTTTCTGGAAGGTACAGTGTTGGCCATATTTGCAGGTATGTCCCTGTTGCAAGGAAGATGGGCAATAGCGAACTTCAGCAATCAAACAGCATCATACACATGAGACCAGATAGTCGTGACCTCGAACCAAAAGCAGAATTGCATCACGAGTTTCACCAAATAAGAGCACACCAAAAGCTCATAATTGACAATGCTGGAATAGTCTCATCATCATCAACGAAGAATGTTGATATCCTATCTGGCGCTCGGCGCCCAGACTACGAATGGCAGATCCTATCTAGCCTAGACTACAATGCCGCTGATGACGTCAACAGCTTCCCAAGTACGAGCAGATCTCGGCCAATGCCGCATGTGTAAAGCGCCAGGTATGTCTCTCGTATCACTCACAACCTCGTTCCCCAACTCACAGATGCCACTTGCACCCAAGGACCACCATGCGCCCCATCCAGCATACAGCAGCGCAGCTCGGGTATGGCTGCCTGCTCCTTCCAGCTCGCCCGTGAGCGCGTGAGCCTGGCAGGCGATAGCGCAGCAGCGCTTGTGCACAAAGCAGCCAGTGCCCGAATGTCCAATGCGTGGGCACGCCCTTCCCTATATCGAAGTGGCCTGCTGCTGCGTGCTGTGCTGCGGTACTGGGCCCCGGCCCAGAAGCTTCCGGTAGGCCCAGGGAGGCTGAGCCTCAGTCCGAAGGAAACAGGCCCAGGGCCTGAGGCCGTTATCAGCACCCAACTGCCCTCAGCCTTTGTTCGGTCCACTTTGTGTATCCGGCCCAGGGCCTGCCTTAGGTACATGCAATGAAGGCAGCCTGGGCCCATGGTGCTTCCAACCAACTGGCGCTGCGCAACTACCTGAATTTCCCCAGTTGCGTGGTAACCCTGAAATGGCCTGTGGGCCTCAGTCGTGCCTGCCCTCACTTAGGGCGGCCGACTGTGTGAATAGAGGGCCCTGAACGGCATATCGAGGCCCTACGGCTCGCACTGTAGCCGGTTTGCAGAAATGTCCTAGGGTCTTGTTGCAAGAAATAAAAAAGAAACACGAACAAGTAATGTCCAAAGTAACAGCAGCAGAAATCAAAATGTGAGGCTCCAGGCCTTGGCGGCACCCAGCAGCGGCGGCCTGCACAGATGTGGTCCATCCCTAAGTGAAGGCCGGGGTTAAAAAGTAGCTGCGGTGGGATAAAAACTTAAAAAGTCACTGATATGGCATATTGAAGCTGGTGGAAGTTTCGGGAGCTTCCTGTGGTGCAAGGACTTAGCCCACGTGACGCTACCACCGCGTCCCTCAGTTGACAAAAGCACTGGAGGCCGCAGCATTGATTTAGTTGGTACTTTGGAGGATTGTTGGCTGTGCACTAAAAATAGCACAGCAGAAGCTGGCTGGGCTCGGTGTGTTGGCAACGGAGGGAGAGAGGCTCAGAGAGCCGGTGTGGTTCTGCAGTTCTCCCTGTGGCAGCCATATCTGCACAGGAGGAAGAAGGGGTGTGCACTGTGCGGAGGCTTGGGAGAACGATGGGAAGCAAATAGCGATGTCAAGTGGGACTTACCTCATGGTGCTGGAAGGGCATCGTTAGGGAAGGAAGACGACCGGACAGATTATGAGAGAAGAGAGAGAGAGAGAGAGAGAGAGAGAGAGAGAGAGAGAGAGAGAGAGAGAGAGAGAGAGAGAGAGAGAGAGAAAGAGTGAAGTAGGAAGGAGGTAGAGTAAGAGAGGAAGATGCGGTTGCACTGAAGGGAACAGGTATATTGTTATTGTTGTTTTGATATCTGGAGTGGAGTTGTCAGGCTTTTTTTCTGTCTAGAGAGACTCCAGCATAACTGTGTTCTCATCTGGTGTGATTTTGGCTTGTAATCTGCTTTCGACTTTTGTCTCGTGTGCTTGCTCTGCTTTGTATTTTTTGGTGCAACGGGAAAGTTGGATGCTCATCGCTTGGTTCCTTGCAAGCATCACGCCAAACGACGCAAACAGAATATATTTACAAATATCATCGAAATATGGTACAATCGTCGGCGATGCAAATCCGTGGGTTCTTGCAGTTGACATCCACTGTTCTCACATCTCAGCTAATCCAGTCATCAACTGACAAATCAGCTCGCAACTACCAATGTGCTTGTGACTTGTGATTTTGAGATGACCACACTTTTAGGTGAACAACTTGTTGATTATCACTGCTGCCATTGTACAGCTGGTCATGATTGCCGAACTCAGTTTCAATGACAGCAACCACCTGAAGAAGAGAAGATCTTTGCTGGTTCATAGTAAGGAAGGAATGATGAGTTCTGCTGCCAGCTGTTAGCATCGTCTGCAGGCACTGGTCTTGATCTGTGGGTTCTATCTGGTGTTGCAAGATACTTGTTACCAGCAGACATAACAGTGAAAGTTACAAAAGATTGAGAAGCAATGTTCTCCTTCCGTTCCCCTCCCCCCTTCGCCCCCCCCCCCCCCCCCCCCCCCCCCCCCCCCCCCCCCCCCCAAAAAAAAAAAAAAAAAAAAGCCCTCCGCTTCTTGCTCCTGTGGGGGTAGAATTCTGACTTGACAACTTGACAAGTGAGAAAGTTATATCCCAGGAGTGAGAACAGGTTGGGGCTCATCTTCAACCTGGCCCATAGCATTAATCTTCAACCTATGTTCCCAAGAAAACTGTTTGAAGTTGAGGCACCTTTCCTCCTCCCGTGCATGGGCCTGGGTGGTTGGTGGTTTGCACGGTCATCGGCAGGGATAGCTCCATCTTTTTTGTATCCATTAAACACTAATAAACAGTGAATGACACATGCTCAGTTGGGCAATGCGTATGGAGCCAAGGATCTGCAAAGTGATGAAAAGGACTGAAATGGACAATGCAATGTCAGTGAAGTATCAACAAGCAATGTACATCCCGAAACATACAAAATGGCAAAATGTGGCGCAGTGGAAAACTCAAAGATAAGACCTGACCTGACTGAGACTGATGCGACATCCCATCATACACCACACATGTGAACGAGGAAGAGGGACCACATACATGATGAAAGGTCCTGCCTTGTACACGTACATGGGGGAGATACCACGGATGAGAGAAGGGGGGGGAGAGGCGAGCCGAGGAAGGAGGCGAGGGAGAAGACCAAGTTCGGGATAGCAAAGTCCAAAAATAGTCCCTTGCCGGATGTCCAGTCAATGTCGGCCCTAAAAATGTCGAATCAGATCTTGGGTGATATGCCCAGCGTAATCTCCGCCTGTAATCTCTCTCTCTCTCGCTCTCTCTGAAGAAGAAGAAGAAGAAGAAGAAGGGCGAAGGGAGATGAGAGGGAGACGAGACGAAGAAGAAGAAGAAGATGTTGTCTTCCTCGCTGTCTCACCTGCAGGTAACTGCCGCCGTACTCTGAGCGCCGTGTTGTCGTCGTCCTGTGCAGGTCGTGTGCGGAGTCCCAGCTATGGCGCCAGGTAAGTCCGCCGCTGCAGGTATGGCCTCCGCCCCTCTCCTACCTACGCCTTGAACTCTACTCCCTAGCGTAGCGCTGAAGTGCAGCGCCGTTCCAGCAGCATGTCGCTCAAGAAGTGAGCTACCTGAACTGTGTGTCTGCCCTGGCCTTGGCCCAGCTCTATACAGTGCTGGGCCGGCCGGTGTGCCTCTGCGTGGCCTGAGAAACGGCCCGCACGGTGTGGACACCCGGTAGGGGCCCCGACCGTGCTGCTGATGCAGCAGGGCGCCAAAAGTGTGCCTGGCCTCTATCGGCCCTGCCTCCTGGTGTCCCCAGGCCCAAGGTACTGCCTTGGGGACTGCGAGTCCAAAACGGCATCTGAACAGACACAAATAGGACAGCAAATAAATAAAAAATGCTTCCTCGCAGCCGTACCTGCGGCCTGAGGGCCGCCGTGGGCCTCGAGGGCGCGTGTCCGATGGGCACGCGGCCTGGGGGCCCCTCAGCAACTGTCGGACCCCTGAAATGGGCCCGTGTGCAGGGGCAGCATGTAACAGTTAATAATGCGAATGCGAAACCTGGCAGTTGTCAGAAGCAGATACAAGTGCAGGGCAAATTGACATCCTTGACTGTACATCTTGCTATTGACAGTGCACATTTTCTCTGTGCATGCAAGGTTGTGTGTGTCCACACAATCGTCTGTGCGTGTGTGTCGTGCCCGTTGGATGTGATCCCTACGTGTTGTTTCTTTGTTGAAGTAGTTACGAGTGCAAGACGAATTGGTGTCCTTGACTAGGTCTTGTTATTGACAGTGTACATTTTCTCTGTGTGTGCGGGAGTGCGTGTCCATGCACTCGTGTGTGTGTGTGTGTGTGTCTGTGTGTGTGTGTGTGTGTGTGTGTCTGTGTGTGTGTGTGTGTGTGTGTGTGTGTGTGAGATGTGTGTGTGTGTGAGTGTGTGTGTGTGTGTGTGTTGCCCGTTGGATGTGCTCCCTACATGTGGTTTCCTTGTTGAACTGTGCGTGCAGATGTTATACTCCCATTTTGCTTGCACCCAAGGATGGTTCTGTGCGTCTTGCATGCATCCCAATCCAACGTAAAATCTCAACTTGCTTCGATCACCATACTCGGCTTGCTTGTTGGAATGTGCGCAGATGTTGTACCTGCGCTTCACGTGCATGCAAGGATGGTTCTGTGCGTCTTGTACGCAATCCAAACAAATGTAAAATCTCAAACATCTGGTTCGCTCGCCACACTCTCCACTCAAGCACGTCTCATTACAACCATCTCGCCCAAGTTACTTCCTTTGTGGCGTGCGTTTTGCGTGTCTCTGCAAATTAATGATCACTCTTTCCCTTCGCCATCTTATTTGTTGCTGAATTTGATATCAAATTATCAAAAATAATATGAAATCATTGCTGATGGTGGAATTGCAGTGAAAACCAGAGAAGTTTGCTTAGTTATGAAAACGTTTTAAGGTTTCAACTAACCAGCATAGCTGTGTGGTTTGTGAAAAGGTCTCGACGAACCAGCATAACTGTGTGGTACGTGAAAACACTAGTGAAACATGTTTCACTAGCTTTTCTTTTTTGTGTGAAAAGTTGGAAACAAGTTCAAACAACCATGCTTTTTTTTTTTTTTTTTTTTTTGCTTCCCTGGTTGCTTATTTCCGGCAAGCATGAAGGTACAAATGGTAGAGACTACTAGAGAGAGAACAAGAGATAGCCTTACCCTTGTGGCACTAGACGCCTATACAAGGGGGGGACTGCTATGAGTCGACCCGCCCCCCAAGCCCCGTCCCTCCCTCAAGGGGTGCTGCTGCTGGCCGAGAAGCTTACTGGCAGCACCCAGTCACGCAGCAGAGGGATCCCAAGGGGAGGCAGGGTGCAGGGGATTGCGTTCGTGGTGGTCTCTTGGGCCACATTTGTCGTCCCATCCCTCAGTCTCCCCAGAGCCATGTTGCTCAAGCCGTTCTTCTACGTTGTCTATGCCCACCCTTCAATATCCCCGTCCACCCTACACCATCCCTGTCCACACTACAATACCCTGTCCTTGCCTGTGCATCACCTTTGTTCCACTCACTTTGTCTTCCCACATGTTACTCCTTCCCTCACCTTTTTTCACTAACCATGTTGTTGAGGTTGTTGAGCTTGTTGTTGTTTTTATTTTTATTTTTTTTTTAGGCAAAAGGAGGCCGGGAATCCCTCCACATCTCAACCTGGAGTAATCCAGTGTCCCCTAAACTCCCAGCCTACTTATCCTGGCCAAATGAGGGAACTAGCCTAACAATGCTGCAATTCGCAAAGAAAGGGGAAATAGAAACTGGACAAACACTGCTGTAAATCGCCAAAAGAAAGGGACTTTAGCTTCCACTACGTGGGGCATCTTCTTGCCATCGAGGAAGGAAGCCAAGTCCTGAGGCGCATAAGCTATCGCTCTCCTTAAACACTAAACCCTACTGTCCCCTGTGTCCTGGAGACGGACTCCCTATTTTCTTAAACTCTGTGTTATGGACTCCGCCAGGGCTCTATCCCTGGTCTATCTTTTTGCTGTTTCTACTGCATCCCGTTTTCGGTCTGGCACCCTTTTTTCCAAACCCCTCCTTTGGTACCATCGGATTTTGGACAACTGGCGCCATGCTGCAATTCGGGTGCTACTTTCAAATACTGCATTTTTCAGTTCTGCCCTCGGGGCTTTTGCGGTACCGTACGTGTCACCGGTACTTATACCAGCTCCCCGTACAGTACGGGGACCGGTCTCGTACCAGTTTTCTGCTGCAGTACTCATACTCAGTGTGACTTGCTGTTTCGACATTCGGAATCCAAGACTTCGACTTTGTGCCTTGCCACTGTGTCTGCGTCCGACCCTCAGTCGTGTCGAGTGAGTGAGTGTGTGTGTGCTCTCACTCTCTCCCTCTCTCTCTCCTCTCCCTCGGCTCTCCCTCAGCCTCGCGCTCATCACACTCTGGCTCTTCTGTACCTTCTATGCTGAGTTTATGTCCGCCATGCTGTTCTGTGATTGCGCTGTTTCTAACGAGACAAGGTCTATTGTACGGTCTCTCCCTTGCTGTTCTTCCCGCCGCTTCCATATCAGTCTCGGGGGATCACCTTGTACAGTGCCGAGTTTGCCCATTCCGAGCCTGTCCTTGATGAATTTGTCTATGATTATTTGCTTTTTTGTGGGGTCTTCTTTGATATTCTTGGTCTCTTGGTGCCAATCCGCCTGGTATTCCGTGCGTAGGAGTTGTAATACGCGCTCCCAGGCCTCCCGGGTTGCTGTAGTTTGGCCGGCGTTTGTTTGTTTGCATCGTGTCTTCCATATGATCCACAACGTAAAGGGGTGGAGTCTTCTGAAGAGGGTTGTCTGCCAGGCTTCTAGGAAACGTGGCTGTGCCAGACGCATTAGAAGTGTCATCAGGTTATCTGGCAGTAATGTGCTGACAATCGTCGTTCACTAACCATGTTGTTGAATGCACTGCAAGGAATGAGCCCTCGCAAAGGCCTCTAGGCTGCAGCATCCTACAGCCCAAAGGGCCCCTTGCAAGCCTCATGCCCGCTGTGGGCCTGCATTATTATGTGAGGTCATGTTCTTGTCTTTTCTGGATGTTGGGGCACCAGACAGATTCCACAGCAGCCATTGCCGGGCTGCTTGGGTGCAGGCTGGAGTGGGCAATGGTGGTATTTGGGAGAGAAGGCGAACATAGTGGGTGAGATGAGGGTGAGGTCGAGGGAAGAGAGGAGACACATACCTGGTGCATGCTGGCAGTCTGCATTGGCGACATCATCACGTACATTGGTCTTCAGCTTGAAATGACTCCTGTTGCATATATGTAGAGTAGGCTAGAGTAGGTACTGAGTAGGATAGGCTGGGCGCTGAGCATCCAGAGACAAACATGTTTCTGAATACTCAACACCATACTGTCCAGATGACTGTCTGGATGGTACCCATGGAATAAAACGTATATGTGTGCCAGAAGCCTAGGTCTTTCTGCGTTCTTCCTATGTCTTAGTCACAGCAGATGCAGCTATTGTTTCGCCGCCTTTTGCATTAACACACACACGTGTATCTGTGTGCGTTTTAGCACGATACAATACTGCCCGAAACCTGGTATGCCCATGAGATGAACGCACAAAAAGTCATGCAAAGGCCAGAAAAGCAACTGACGAAAAACCAAAGGCTTCAACCCCAATGGCAGCGAGCCACAAAAGTACAAAGGTAATAGCAGCAATGCATGAAAGACAGTCAAGGAAAGGACTGACACGAACAAGGCATTGGACAAGCAGCGGGCAGCAAGGGACAAAGGCTGGAGGGCATGGGGGAGGTGGAAGGGCAGACAAACAACACAAAGCAGTAGGCATGAAAGCAGCAAAGCAAAAGACATAGGGTGGAGGGAATGGGGGAAGCGGGTGGGCACATAAATTACATAAACCCAAAAAGTAGCAAAACAGAAGAGCAGCAAAAACAATTCAAGTTCGAAAAAATGAAAGAGTGAAAAAAATAAAACTGATGATAGATTGTGTCGTCGGGGTTGCAACGATTCATCAGGAGGCTGAACCGTCGACAATATGTGTAATGCCGTATTGATGGTTCGGGTCATGCACCCTTTGACCCTTGTTGAAGGCAGACTGTCCCACGTGGAACATAGCAGCAGGCAGCAACCCTGCGGAGCACCAGGCAACACTGCCGTAGCAACCCAGCTGCACAACACCAAAACTAACTGCATGAACGACAGTGCAAGCAAGCACACAGCACGGCAACAGCACAGCGAAGCACAAGGCGACACCAACAAAGCAACCAAACTACACGGCACACAAGCAAAGAATGCGAAAGGAAGGCACGGAGATGGGCAGCAAGGGAAGCAGTACAGCGAAGCACAAGGCAACACCAACATCACAGCTACACGACACAGTGAACACAGCAGGTGAAGAACGACATGTGAAGCAAGCAGGAAGGGAAGCAAGGCAGCGGTGGAGCGCAGACAAGGCAGTCTATACATCCATCACAGCGTCACATCACCAACCCACATCACAAGTGAACCCTGCGGACTGTCAGTTCCCACCATCCGCTAAGTCAGGGAGTCACTCTGGCAGACGTCTGTCATCACCCATAGCCCATATGCACCTCTCAGATACAGGTACTCCAAACACCCCAACACTGACTGTTCAGCACTTGCTAAAGGTGCTCACCCAGACACGAAGTACATAGAGAAAGAATAGGAGGAAGGACAAGCAGCAAGAGAGAGACAGACATAGAACTGAGTGCATGTGTGTGTGTGTGTGTGTGTGTGTAGAAGTTTTGAAACCTTACACAGAGCCTACTATACTTGCAGAGTGAATAGTGTTGAAGGCATAGTCTTACCCCATCAGTAATGGTGGAAGGTCGAGGTTCCAAGGGTTCGGTTGTTCGCTGATGAAAGTGGTAAACTCGTTGCCGTGTCAGACGAGTAATCTCTGACCTTGTTACTTCACTATATGCGGGAAAGTCCTAACCTATTTATTGAATCTATTTATTGGTGGGGGGGTAATTAACACTTGCTACCCCAAAACCCGGGGACGCGTGCCAAAGGGCTCGCAAGAGCCGGGTCCCCGACCGAAGGCGCCGAAGGCGTCGTTTGAGTCTCTATATAGATAGGCCGAAGGCGCAGAGAGAGAGAGAGAGAGAGAGATGCATGCTCATCTGAAGATGAGTGGTGCAGATGTCCAAGGAGTGCCATGTGATGAACAGGACTCAAAACAAAACTAGATAATGCAATAAAGCGAGCGCAGCGGAAGACTTAAAAGATATGACCTGTCACATCAGATCCAGACTCGACTCACACAATCATCATCACACATGTCACACAGCAAGGAGGGAAATCGTACACAAAAGAAAGATCCCTCCTTGCGCACACACATGGGAAGCAGCCATGGAGGAGGAGAGACGAAGATGGAGAGGGGAAATAGGACTAGTAGAACTTGGTAGTCGTCCAAGAAGTAGTCTCCCCGTCAAATGTCCAACCAATGTCTGTCCTCCAAAAATGTCGAATCAGATCCTGGGCTCCACGGCCTGAAATAGTCACTGCCTGAAATCTCTCTCTCTCTCTCTCTGAAGAGGAAGAAGAAAAGAGGGAGGAGGAGGAGAAGGAGAAGAAGAAGGACAGTGGCTATGGAGGAGTGGAGAAGAGTCAGGAGAAGGAGAAGGAAAAGAAGAATTCTCCTCTTTCACGTGCTCCTGGTGATGATGCTGTGAATACTGACCAGAAGGTGACGACTCACAATGCAGGTTGCTGCCGAAGGCCGGTCCCATTACCGGTATGAAGTCCCAGCTATGGCACCCAGCTAAGTTTCTCTCTCCCTCGTGGGCATGGCCTCCGCCAAACCTCTCCGCTCCAGCCTACCCGTCTAATCCTCCAGTGCTGCTCTATAAACTGCCGCTGCTCCAGCAGCGTGTCGCCCAAAGGAGGCTCCAGCCCGAATGTCCTTAAAGTGGAGGACTGGCCCAGCTATATACCGCTGGGCCTGGCTGAGCAGTCCTCGGACTGTGATCACGACTGTCGGATCTGATGTCCGATCGATGGTCATGATCGCAGGCCCCAGTCCTGGTCCTACGATCCTGGCCAAAAAACGGCCTGCCTGGGACCCTACCAGACGTCCAGGCAATCCTGCTGATGCAGCAGGGTCCTGAGGACTGGGCCAGGCACAAACAGACAAATGCCTGGTCTAATCCCACATACGGGCAAATCTGAACCTGGAGAGAGAGAGAGAGAGAGAGAGAGAGAGAGAGAGAGAGAGAGAGAGATCCATTTTGAAGGCTTTATGTTTCATTTCCTCGCTTGAAATGCCTCACTTCTATGATCTATCCGATGTCTTTCACGTGGTCTGTTTGTCTCTCTACTGTCAACCACTTACTGTGTTTGCCAACTTTGCCTTTATTTGCTGCTCTGTCCACCACATGGTCAATCACTTTTCTGTTTGTCTATCTACTGTCTATCACCCAGTGTGTTTGCCTTTGTTTGCCGCTCTGCCGCCCTGTAGTGCATGTGCAGAGAGCTATGTCTCCATTTGGTTGTCTTCTTCACTAACCCTTTGTCATTCTCCTTGGAATGAATGTGCAGAGGAATTGAAACCATTGCCAGAATAAAGTACATGAAGAAAGGGGATACAGAGTGGCGTGAGTTAAGGATTGATCCAAGGCAAGTTGATCTCAGGATGGGAATGGGAGTGTTGAAGTGTTGGCTTTTTCTTTGTATTGATTTTAAACCACCAGTACCTCCGAGCCTGTTTTTGCCGACCCTGATTTTCACTGCGCTCCGAGTTTTGCCGAGCCTGGGTCCCACTCCATTTCTTTATGGTACTCTCACGGGAAGAACCAAAAAA